AGAACGGGTGAGGAGAACAATAATTTACAATGAATATTGGCACCTTTTTATTTTTACATAAAACAAAATTTACCTCTATAGTATTTTATATGAATTTTTAACTATTAGATCTATGCCGCTACGCTACAGCACCATACAAATAGGTTTTATGAGCAAATGCCTAATACCTACACATCATGACCTTCATGTGCCAAGACTAAAATGAGTGTAAAATCAGGGAGGGGTTTCATATATAAATGGTTTCATATATACCTGCTGTTGGATATATTTCCAAGTTTTCTGATGCAGCTGGCCAATCCATCACCTTAACTAGAATAGTCCAAAAAGGACCAGCCTCCTTCTACCCAAACATCAGCCTTGGTAAGAGCATGTGTGTACGCTGGTGTCAGACATACAACATTTCCATTGTAAACAATTAATATCAAATAATTTTTACCAATAATCTAACAGGTTACATATTTTTCCTAATTCCATACAGAGAATTAAAAGCAGGAAGAAACTAGAATACTTGGCAGTGTGTCCATATACCTGCCAGAACTCTGCACTGATGCTCATTTTTTAAGAACTCTGTATTATCTTCAGCTCTCCTGAAGAAATACTGAGTACGCATTGTTGTGGTTAACACCCCTCGAGTCGGCCCCTGAATCCTGATGACCCCATGTACAACAGAATGAAATACTGCCTGGTCTTGTGACATCTCCACGATAGGTTGTTGATTGGGCAATTGTGATTCAGGTTTTTATTGGCTGATTTTCAGACCCAGATCGCTAAGCATTTCTTCCTAGCCCATCTTAGTCTGGAAGCACTACTGAAACCTGCTCAGCATTTGTTAGAGTAACACACAAACCTCCGCTGACAGATGGGTGGAGGCTGTGCATGAGGTGCTTGGGTTGGGAATCAAACCCAAGTCTCCTGCATGGGAGGCGATTATTCTACCACCGAATCTCCAGTGCCTGAAGCGTGAATTATGTATTCTTGTTTATCCATAAAAAGAAATAGACTTCTTTAAGAAATCTGAGTTCTATTAAGATTATAGCCACCTACTCCACTGATCAGGGAGCTCCCCTGATCGTTAGTTCCTACCAAAGAAAGTTAAATGTGACAAGAGAGAAAGATAGTAAGTGCTACCTGTTCATTCCTCCCAGGCTTTGCTGACTTGATTCTGAATTAATGAGCCTGTTACACGATATCGAATAAAAATGAGTAGAGTGGAGATAGTGTTCAGAATCTGCCACATATTTTGGTTCAAGGCTGAATTAATTTCATCTATGTATATAACACATGCTTGTTTTCTGTCTCACTTGTCTCCCCCACAGCCACAGCTCACTCTTTTTTCCATCTGGGAAACTTATCTCCTAAAATGCTCCCATCAATCAGCCGAAGTCACTCTTCCCGACAGAGCGTCTGCCAGTTTGACTAAGCACAAGTAGTCACTAGTTTGAGGATGCCTCCCACACGCTCTAGAGCTGTATGTTTTTCTAGCCTGCCTAACCACACAAGTGCAATTTGGGATATTTATATTTCCCTCCAGTTTCTTTTGGGATATAGCACTACTTTTACAGAACTAGGCATATGGCACAGTATAGGTTAGTATAGTGGAAAAAGGAAGCTTCCTATCTTTCCTGTCTACCTACTTTTAACCTTATTACTTTGGATTTTTGCATTTCTACCCACTTTGGTCTGCTGAAGCTCACTGCCAGCTCAGAAAGTATAAAAATGAACCACACATAAGGGTGAAGACACCTCATCCCTAGATCCTTCCCTGATAACCTGTTGCTTTCCCCATTTTCCCAACTATTATATCAATACTGCTCCCGATGCATTCAAGACTCTAAACCTAAACGCAGCATGGAAGGAGAGGGATAGAAAAGAGAGCAAAAAGGGGGTTGGCAGCAGAAGCCAGAGAGCATTGGTAGAAGGGAAGGAGCAGGAGACAGACAGCCCCCTCTCTCACAAATTTCCATCGTGAACACACCCACGGGCTGCAGCGAAAAAGCACTGTGCGTGGGCACAGGTGGGTCCCAGCCTCTTCGGCTACAGGCAGCTCAAGAACTGAGCCTGAATGAAGACTTTCATTGCTGTTTGGTGTTTTTGTTGGCCAGTAGCCATGGCAAACATTTGCAGGTGGCTTGGCCAGATTTTGACACTTAAATATTTGAGGTTGTGATAAAAATCAGAATATTACTACAATATGGTTCTGTGCAGCCTCAAAAAAAAAAAAAGCTATCTGCAATTTCAAATGCTCATTTAAAGACACAGTCTCCAGAGGAAACTCATGTTTTAAAATAAGTACTCATTTCCTCTTTGCTGAGGGAAATAAAAGAGCAAACCATCCCCAAATTGTACCACCTAGAGTATAATACTGAATTCACTGGTGAGATGGGTTGGGCTGTTTCTTGCTGAGACCCCATGATAATCCGGGCAAGGTTTTGGATAGGTCACATGGAGAAAAATGGAAATGACAGGATGTGTGGGTTTGAATCAACATGGTAAGCACAACAGGGAAGAATCTGAAGAAAAGAAACTCCCTCAAGCTTGGCAAGGAGACAGAGTCCAAAAGTGGCAATTATCTCCTACAACACACCAGGAGAGACATGCAATACCCCAGGATCAGGAATAAATTGGAAGATGGGGTAGGTCGGGAGGTTATCCCTAACACAGAAACACTCCCACTCATCCAAGTACAGCAATGCAAGCAGTGACACGTGTCATCCAAATGTACAAGATCAGTTGGGTAAATTCAAGATAGAGTCAACCACCCATTTTAGCATTTAGTGCTAACCCTTCAAGATTGTTCCACAGAAGCCAGCCTGGTACCAACAATGGCTAAATACTAAGAGCCTCTGTGAGGGGTAGCTGGTGGGGAGTGGGGGTGGAGAAAGCAGGAGAACTCCAGGGGAGGCAAGAATGTTGTAAAACTGCTTGTAAACTCTAGCACATTTTATGTTCCTCTCCCCTTAAAAGAAAAATAAAATCATTATAATTAGCTGGTATAACTGTGAACTGTCTGCCCAAAGTCAAGCTGCTAAGTCACACCACTAGACACTATCTTCAATGAGCCTACCTCACCTTCTGTGTATATTATAGGTTTTTGCTATAGTTGTAGGTTCTTCTGAGAAGACAAGAAATCTTTACCAGACACATTTGCCAATTTGGCCTTGGCTTCTTCAAACAAAGCCAAGCATTCAAAGGGCCAGACTAAATTTCTGTTTCTTAAAGGGCAGACCAAATGTACGCATGGCAAACTCACAAAATAAAAGTCATTACCCACAGCTCTCCATTGTCAAAGCGGGTCTTCACATGTCACAGCACATCCTAATAGATGGTTGAGAAATGTGAGGAACACGGAGTCCCCCTCTAAATGTACCTCTATGATGGAGAAATAAGCAAGTGCTCACTACTGGTCTGGAATTCTCACAAACAATAAAAACAAGAGGAAAATGACACACTGACCAATTATGGGGCAGTTTCTTTTCTTTTTTTTTTTTTTAAATCACCATATCCAGTGTTCAGCAAACTGAATTCTGACACTTGTACCAAACACAGCAAGCTCTTCTTCCTGTTCTAAACTAGGAATTCTGGGAACTTAACACAACTAGTTTTCAGTGTCCAACAACAGAAATTTATCATTAACTTTTTGGTTTTAGTAATTACTTTTTCTTCCAAAGCATCTGGATGCTCTTAATCTTTTATTTCATCTTTACTCTACCGTTATGAGGTTGGAATGACAAACATCCTCATTCTGGAAACAAGGAAGTTGAATGAATTATATAAAGCTAGGAAGAAAATCTAGAGAACTGGGATTAGAACCTAAGACTCCAGTGTTCTCAAAGGTGGGGACACTTTGGTGTTGTGGCCAGGGAAGTTCTTACAAGTGAGGGACTTGTACCTTGAGTGCATCAGGCCCTGCCTCACTGATTGCCTTAAGGGATTAAGGATTGCATCCTTCAGTCAATGCTACAGCCCAACTTTCCCCCCAACACACACATTTCTGTACATTTCCTAGGGCAATGTTGCCTCCAGTTGAGAACCATTGGTTGACCACCCTACTCCATTCCTGTGGATTATTAAAGTCTTCTAAGCCAGCCATATTACACCTAGAATTTCCATTTTATCTACTACCTTCTAGCTCAATTTCCCTCAAACTTTAATGTGTATACCAATCACCTGGAGACCCCTGGGATCTTGTCAAATACAGATTATGAGTCAGTAGGTCTAGGGTGGGGCCAGAGATTCTGCATTTCTAAGAAGCTACTGGGTGATGCCAGTGATGCTGATGTTCAGACCACACTCTGAATAGCTAGGAGCTACCTTTATCACCTAATACCAAGAAGCAAGTGAGAGCTCTTTCCATCACGTGATATGAAGTGTTTGAGTCTCAATGACAGGACCTAGGGCCCCTTTTCCAATTTCTTGCAATGCTTCAGAATTGTTTTTATATACACACAAAGGAGAACATGTGCTTTCTTCATTTTGCCTACTCCAGGCATGACTATGGAACAATATAGGGGAAGAGGAGAGCCAGTAAGAGAGTATTAACAAGAAAGAGAAGCAAGAAAGAATAACCAGAGAGAAGGAGAATGCGGAAATACACAGAATCCCAGGTACGGATTTGGTGGTTTCTCAGAAGGGAAGGGCAGACTCTGTTGTGGCTGGTGAAATGCTTCCACCATCATGAAACATTTGTCCTGAGCACTGGAGGCTCTGGCCTCCATCACACCCATGGCTTTCCCTGATGTCATCTTAAAGTTCACAAATGACAAAACAGTGACTCAATTCTTCCCCTCAAAGCCCAGGATCAAAACAGCTTCCACTACACTGAGGTTTTCCCTCCCTCTCCCAAAATCAAAAGCATCACTTTGAATCTCTAGGTAGTATCACATAAGCCAGGAAAACCAACTTCTGTTTCATCCTATGTGAGCACCAGAAATGAGAAGAAAGTCCAGAGCATTCTCTGAGCTCCAGTCAGGACCCAGGGAGAGCAGAGGAGATCTCCTTACCCGATCTGGCGGTTGGTGGAAGGGGCTTGTGTGATGACTGAGCTGGACTGGGGAGACGGCATGGCTTGCTGAATCACAACGCTGGTGTCGTGGTTGGGCATCCGAGAGCTGCCAAGCTGGTGAGCTCCGGGCCCTGTCATGGCTCCACCAACTGTATTATGCATCGATATATTCTGCCCAGAGAAGGGAGAGAAGGGTCAGAAGAAGAAAATATTTCATTCTACTCTCAAGCTTTCGAAGGCCAAGACAGGGAATCTGGTATGTCAGTGAAATAGAGAGTTACGGCTTCTGCCAAGGCTTAAGCCCATTCATTTTGTTATTACAAATGGCTACAAGAAGATGAAAAACCCTTACAGGAAAGGAAATAGGAAAATACCTTGAAGTTTATTAATCACTCTACCACCATCCTGATGTGAGATTTATATCAGGGACCTTGAGAACATACCTTCTCTGACTTGGTGTGATAAACACTATATATGAGAAATTATTTTTGTGATAAGTGCATAAACATTGTGATTTAGTGAACAGCCATTCTGAATCCGACTTTGAATGATAAGCACACTATTTTATCTTTTTCATCCCTATCAGAGTGGTCAACATATGTATATTTTTCCAGAAAATGCCACTTTTCCAAACCACAATCTGGGTAGTCATAATACAAGCTCAACAACCTGTGGAATGAGGTTAGACAACTGGAATAGAGAATAGGGTGACTGGGATCCAGTGACAAAGAACAAGAGCTGCAACTTTCTACCATATTTCCAGAAAATGAACTTCTAACAGTTTTATGGAATATGGAATAATGATTGTTTATCACTGTCTCTTCCTCTTGAATGTGTAACGTTTGTTTCCACCACTCTATCCTTTTTGCCCAGCATGGTACTTGGCACATAGTTATTGTTGCTAGTTGCCAGTGAGTGAGCTACAACTCATGTACACAGAATGCAACAATGCCAGACCTACACCACCTTCATGATCACTGGTATAGTCAGCCATCGTTGTGGCCACTGTGTATTTAGAGCACCTTCTAATGTAGGGGAATTATCTTCCAGCATTATACAGGGCAATATTCTTTTATGATCCATAGCGGAGCTGTGGTAGCATAGTGGCTAAGGCACTTGACTGCTAACCAGAAGGCTGGTAGTTCAAACCCACCAGCCACTCCTCGGAAGGAAGATGGGGCAATCTACTTCCGCAGTGATACCGCCTTGGAAACCCAATGAGGGGTCGCTATGAGTCAGATCTGACTCGATGGCACATAACAACAACAACAATTTCCAAAAGTAGATTACCTTTCCTTCCTTCCTAGTCTGTGTTAGTCCGGAAGCTCCACTGAAACCTATTCACCATGAGTAAGCCTGCTGGTGTTTGAAATAACAGTGGCCTAGTTTTAAGCATGATGCCGTTGTTGTTGTTGTTGTTATGTGCCTTCAAGTTGGTCATAGCGACCCCTCCTTGGGTTTCTGAGGTGGTATCACCACGGAAGTAGATTGCCCAACCTTCCTTCCGAGGAGTGGCTGGTGGGTTTGAACCGCCAGCCTTCTGGTTAGCTGTAAAGTGCCTTAGGCACTACGCTACCACAGCATGATAGCAACATGCAATCCCCCACAAAATGACAAACTGACACACAGTCTTGTTGCATAGAAGATATTTAACAAATGTATACTATATGAATAAACCAGTGCATGAAGAAATGAGATACCTGAGTTACTTAAGGTACCTAGCATCATATATTTTTCTGATGATTTGAGTGGAGGATCCTTTGTTTAAAATTCAAAAGTAAGGTGAAATATGCAAAATGAAACTGGCTTAAAAGATGGCTCTTCACAGACAAGAAAGTCACCGGGACAACAAGAGAAAATTTACAGTGAGGCAGAGGAGAGCCGATTCACATCTTGAGGCTGAAATGTGAGAAAGAAATGCTGGACTAGTAAACAAAGGAGCCCTGCTGGCACAATGGTTAAGTGCTCAGCTACTAACCAAAAGGTTGGCAGTTCAAACCCATAGTGGTGCCACAGGAGAAAAGACCTGGAGACCTGCTCACACAAAGATTACAGCCTTGGAAATTCTATGGGGCAATTCTACTGTCTATAGGGTCACTATGAGCCTGAATTGACTGGACAGCACACTACAAGAACAACAAAACGAAGAGAAAGTAGAGTAGAGCCAAGTAGCAGGTAAGGATAGTAAATGGGCCTCTGTAAATGCTAGTTACAGCTATTCAGTCTAGAATGGCAGGGAAATCACAGGGGTCAGCTGGACAATAGCTGAGGATGAGAGGAAAGAAATGGAATGTCACAAGCAATTTACTAGTGGGAAATACATATATCTGTCGGCGCTTTAGGGTTAGCAAAAGAAAAATAAATAAATGTTACCCAGAAGAGGCAGAAATGATACTTTGAAGTTCTTCTGCAAAAAACAGGATTTCCTGCACTATGTGCTAAATGATGGTGATAACACATATAATATTTGGGGTGGCTGTGTCCATCACATTGCACCTTTCCCAGATTTCTGATTTCTAAATCCTGACCACACAGTCTGCCAGAAGTCCAGATGGAAATGGCATCTGGCATAGACTGTGAGCTGACTGTTTCATGGGATCCCAAATGCATGAACAGGCTTATATATACTCACACGTCCAAAGGTTCCTCTTACACACTAGATGGTTTTTCTGATGTCAGAAAATATCAAATATCTGGCTTGGTTAAAATAAGATGAAAAGAAATAGTGATTTGAATTGGAATGGCAGTACAAGAATGTATTTTAGCTCTTTTTATGAGGTCTAAAAATCTAGAAAATCTAACTAAAAATAATGATGAAAATAAAGATAGTTGTGCTATTTCTTTTGAAACGAACTATATAAACTTATTTCCCTGTGTCTTGGTGGGCTGAACCATTAGCAGGTACTCTTTCTTCCTTTGTGAAGATCCTGAAAGATACTCAGTTTTCCATATTGCTCATGTTGTTGTTGTATGTTGTTGACTTGATTTCTGACTCACAATGACTCCATAGAACAGGGCAGAAGTGCCCCATAGGGTTTCCAGGGCTGTAATCTTTATGGAAGTAGATTGCTACATCTTTCTCCTGCTGAGCAGCTGGTAGGTTTGAATTGCCAATCTTTTGGTTAGCAGCCATGCATTTAACAACTGCACCACCAGAACTCCTTATCTTGCTAATAGCCACTTTTTCAACAATAAATCAAATGCACAAAAGGATTTTTTACTCATTTTAGAATTGCTCCCATTGTGTTTTGCTACCCAGAAGTTATCAATTTAGTTACGCACTTTGATTACAAAATCATGATCTTTAAACTCACAAACAAAAATATGAAATGGATGAACCCTCCTTGAGTTAGTGTTGATATCAGTTTTCTATAATCCCAATAGTTGGTGTTGTTAGGTGCCATCGAGTTGGCTCTGACTCGTAGCGACCCTACATACAAAAGAACAAAACACTGCTGGGTCCTGTGCCAGCCTCACGATCCTTGCTATACCTGGGCCCATCATTGCAGCCACTATGTCAATCCATCTCATTGAGAGCCTTCCCCTTTTTTGCTGACCCTTCACTTTACCAAGCATGATATCCTTCTCCAGGGACTGGTCCCTTCTGACAACATGACCAAAGTAGGTCAAACGAAGTCTGGCTATTTTTGCTTCCAATGAGCATTCCAGCTGCACTTCTTGCAGGACAGATTTGTTAGTTCTTCTGGCAGTCCATGGTACTTTCAGTATTCTTTACCAGCACCACAACTCAAAAGCAACAACTCTTCTTCAGTCTTTCTTATTCATTGTCCAGCTCTCACATACATTTGAAGTGATTGAAAATACCATGGCTTGAGTTAGGCTCACCTTAGTCTTCAAAGGGACATCTTTGCTCTTCAGCTTTAAAGAGGTCTTTTACAGCAGATTTGCCCAGAGCAATATGTCCTCTGATGTCTTGACTGCTGCTTCCATTGGTGTTGACTGTGGAACCAAGTAATACGAAATCTTTGACAACTTCAATCTTTTCTCCATTTATCATGATGCTGCTTATTGGTCAAGTTGTGAGGATTTTTGTTTTCTTTATGTTGAGATGTAATCCATATTGCAGACTAGTCTTTAATTTTCATCAGTAAGTGCTTCAAGTCATCCTCACTTGAAGCAAGAAAAGTTGTGTTGTGTGCATATTGCAGGTTGTTAATGAGTCTTCCTCCAAGCCTGATGCCATGTTCTTCTTCATATAGTCCAACTTCTCAGATTATTTGCTCAGCATACAGATTGAATAAGTATGGTGAAAGAATTCAACCCTGACACACTCCCTGCCTGACTTTAAACCAGGCAGTATCCCCTTGTGCTGTTCGAATGACAGCTTCCTGGTCTATGTACAGGTTCCTCACAAGTACAATTAAGTATTCTGGAATTACCATTCTTCTCAATGTTATCCATAATTGGTTATGATCCACCCAATCCAATGCTTTTGCATAGTCAATAAAACACAAGTAAACATCTTTCTGGTATTCTTTGCTTTGAGCCAAGATCCATCTGACATTAGCAATCATATCTCTCATTCCACAGCCTCTTCTGAATCCAGCTTGCATTTCTGGAAGTGCTCTGTCAATATATTGCTGCAACTGTTTTTGAATTATCTTCAGCCAGATTTTACTTACATGTGATATTAATGATATTGTTCAATAATTTCCACATTCTGTGGGATCACCTTTCTTTGGAACAGGTACAAATATGGATCTCTTCCAGTCGGCTGGCCATGTAGCTGTCTTCCAAATTTCTTGGCATAGACGAGTGAGAGCCTCCAGTGGGGCATCCGTTTGTTGAAACATCTCAATGGGTATTTTTTTGCCAGTTCCTTCAGTGCAGCTTTGACTTCTTCCTTCAGTACCATTGGTTCTTGATCATATACCAACTCCTGAAATGGATGAACATCAAGCAATTATTTTTGGTACAGTGACTCTGTGTATTCCTTCCATCTTCTTTTGATATTTCCTGCATCATTCAATATTTTGCCCATGAAATCTTTCAATACTGCAACTAGAGGCTTGAATTTTTTCCTCAGTTCTTTCAGTTTGAGAAATGCCGAGTGTGTTCTTTTTTGGTTTTCTAACTCCAGGTCTTTGCACATTTCATTATAATAATTGACTCTGTCTCCTTGAGCTTCTCTTTGAAATCTTCTGTTAAGC